CACATAAACCTAATGGTGGACAGTGATATACCATTATCCCTTTTCCTATGATTTAGTGAATGGTTGAGGATAACCCAGGCGTGGGTATCTGCACAGAGAATTGGTGGCCTAATTAGGGCCTGGCATTGACAGTGAGTACTGCTTGGGGCACTGTGGTGGGGAAGCTGCAGGAATGTAGTGCTGAATAACTCCAGGCAGACCATAGTATGTAAGTGGAGCAGAAAACAGATGGTCCTGAGCATGCAAAAAAAAAAAAACATCAAAACACAGAGCGGTCCATTGCGTATAATTGTCCAAAGTGGTGGAGCACCAGCTTTAGTGATAAAGCCTCAGAGAATATAGTTTCCTCTTTAAAATTCTGGTTCCATTATTTTTTGTGTTAGTTGTATGGAATAAATATTTGGAAAGAAAACAAAGTTACCTCCTCTCAGTTACAAACCTCTATTGAGGTAGTGTTTTAAAATCTGCCACCTGTTAAGGAAGTGAAGTTAAATATAAAAGCACAGTTGTACCACAGGATAAAAATACACTAAATAAATAAATAAGTATATAAATAAATAAGTATATAAATAAATAAAATAAATAAATAAGTATATAAATAAATAAACGAATAAATAAATAAATAAATAAATAAATAAATAAATAAATAAATAAATAAATAAATAAATAAATAAATAAATAAATAAATAAATAAATAAATAATTTGTGCCTTTTTAAAAGGGGAAAACAATTAGAAAGTGATGAGTTATTCTTGCACATCAGAATTTCAGGAATTATATCACTGAGTTCAGATTTACTGTTCAAATTCCAAGTTGACATCTCACAGTTGTCACCTTTTCTCTGGAGTGTGACTTAATTTTACATAATTTATATGATTTTCCCCCAATTTAAAGGCCGTCTTGCATTTCTGCGGTTGTTTAAGTGTCTTGAAAAGAATTTGTGTTTTAAATTCTGAGTGTCTTAAAACTGAAAGCAACAAATCTTGTCTGGGAAATAGGCAAAATATGCTACAAGCAAAATGTTCATAAGGTGTAAGTGTTAACTAAGCCGCAGGTTGTAACCTTAAACCATGTAAACACAGCACTGGAAGCACATTCTGTAATGAATGCCATTCCACTACTGCCACCATTACACTAGTACAAAACTGAACTAAAAATCAAAAAATAAAAACACAGCAATCCATGATTCCTCTTTATCTCATTATGTGCAACGCTATCTACACTGTCACAACAAACTGTCACTAAATGTTGTGTGGCAAAACCAGCCAAAATGACATGTTGAGCATTAAAAGTAGTAGATTGATAGATTTTCAGAATTCTGTTTATGGTTAGGTCATAGTACTTCTACTTCGCTGTGTATAAAAATAGTGTAAGCCTATGGAATGTCCCTATTTAGAAAGAAAAATGTGTTCACAAGACTAATTTATTCAAAATGTTTATTACTCTTTAATAATTGGTTTTATAAGAGTAATTTTTCCTTAATCAAACTACACTGATTGTGCTGTAGGTTTCTGACTCTAAAAATATTCAGTTTATTTTGTCTTTAATCAAACTTCACTTGTTGTGCTGTACTGTTTGTGTTTTATTCACTAAAAAGAACTGACTCATATAGCGTCATTCTTTCTGGAGATGGACTGCACTAATCAAACTGTATGATATCTACTGACTCATTAAACATAATCTGATTAATCAAACTACACTGGTTGTGGTGCATTTTGGATTTACTAAAAAAAAAAATCACAATCATTCAGGAGTAGGACATTATGGTGATGTTTACAGTTAAAGGGACAGTTCACCCAAACATTAAAACTCTTTCAATATATACTCACCCTTTATTTGTTTCAGACCTTTAAGAGTTTTTTTAGTCTGTTAAACACAAAAGAAAATATTTCGAAGAAAGCTTGAAACCTGTAACCAATGAGGTCAATGTTTTTTCCACTTTCTTCAAAATATCTTTAGTGAACAACATGTATAGTCAACAAAAGTAAGAAACTGATAAAGAATTGGAAACACTTGAAGGTGAGTAAATCAAGAGTACATTTCATTTTTTAGGTGAACTATAAATTTAATAAAAACATTTAAAATAATGTTAGGTGGCACGGTGGCCCGATGGCCCAGTGGTTAGTGCTGTCACCTCACAATAAGAAGTTCACTGTATCAAGCCTCGGCTGGGTCAGTTGTCATTTCTGAGTTTGCATGTTCTCCCCGTGCTCACGTGGGTTCCTCCAGGTGCTCTGGTTTTATCCACAGTCCAAAGACATGCTAGAAGCTAAACTGGCCATAGTGTGTGTGAATGGGAGTGTATGGATGTTTTCCAGTGATGGGTTGCAGCTGAAAGGGCATCTGCTGCATAAAACATTTGCTGGATAATTTGGCAGTTCATTCCGCTGTGGCGAGCCCAGATTAATAATGGGACTAAGCCAAAAAGAAAATGAAGGACAAAATAATATTATTTGGTTTGAGTATTAAAAAAAATAGAAGTTCTGTTTCTAAATAAGATCTAGACCACTACTTTGTTCAGAATTGGCTCAGTCAGCACCATTGATCACCTAATTCTCTCAGTTATTAAGAAATTGCAAAGATGTTGTTAATAAATTGTTTATACATTCATCTAGATTTAAAAATAAATAAATAAACTAAAACATTGCATAAAAATGTACAAATATTGTATTGCTTATTTTATGTATTTAGTTAATAATACATTTTTGTAGATTGGATAATAAATAAATTAGCATGCAAAGAATGTTTATATTGTATTCCTAAATTTTCTCTACCGAGTTATTATTTGTTTGAATTAATTATTAATTTATTTGTGTATTTAAATAGATTTTTTATATTTTGTTGTTTTTATTTGTTTATTTTAGGTTTCAATTAAAATGTATTCAAATACCATTATTCAGTTATGAAGAAATTACAAAGATATTATAAGTAAATTGTTAATAAATTATATAAATAAATATTGTATAAAATGTGCATATATTGTATTCCTCGATGTTCTCTGCAGTGTTATTATTTGTTTGGATTAATTTATTTATTAGTTTATGTAGTTATATAGTTGAAGTCAGAATTATTAGCCCCCCTGAATTATTAGCTCCACTGTTTTTTTCTTTCCAATTTCAGTTTTAGGAAAAGCACATTTTTTTCAACACATTTCTAAACCTAACAGTTTTAGTAACTCATTTCTAATAACTGATTTATTTTTTCTTCGCCATGATGACAGTAAATAATATTTGACAAGAAATATTTCAACACCTCTACACAGCTTAAAGTGACATTTAAAGGCTTAACTAGGTTAACTGGGTAACTAGGCAGGTTAAGGTAATTAATTAGGCAATTTATTGTATAACCATGGTTTGTTCTGTAGACTGTTGAATAAAATATATAGCTTAAAGAGGCTAATAATTTTGACCTTAAAAAAAAAAAAAAAAAAAAACTGCTTTTATTCTAGCTTAAACAAAACAAATAAGACTTTCTCCAGAAAAAAAAATCTTTTCAGACATACTGTGAAAATTCCCTTGTTCTGTTAAACATCATTTGGGAAATATTTAAAAAGGGAAAAAAATCAAAGGCAGGCAAAAATTTCTGAATTTACTGTATATTTTAGTATTTAGTTGTTTTTATTTACGTTAATTTTAGCTTTATTTATATATTTTTCTTCGGCTTAGTCCCTTATTTATCAGGTTATCAGGCCACCGCGGAATGATCCACCTATTTTAGCTTTAAGTTTCAATAAAACATTTGATCAAATATCATTAATCAGTTAAGAAATTATGAAGATATTGTTAATAAATTCCATTCACTTCCATTAATCTGCTCCGAGCTACACAACATAATCAAACGTGGACACGATGTTGGTCAAATGTTAATTCAATCCCACTGAGGTCAGGCACTGACGGCAGGGACCCAGACTCACATTTTATTGCATGTACATTTTCTTTCAACCACCTATTGTTCGTCCAAGCCATTCGAACGTAACATGTAGTAAAGATTACAGAGCGGAACAATAGAACATAATCCGTACACGGCTCCAAGAAACAAAGACCACACGAGGAATGTCATGGAAGTATGTAATTGATTTTTTTTTTCCAAATTATGTGCATGTAAATTATTCATGGTTGGATTTAATGAATCCAATACTCTAGGTGCAAGTTTTAATTGCAAAATCAGGTTGTGTAATGGAAAAAAATGTCGGCGTTCACGCAGCTCCAGTCACAGAAGCCTTCAGGCCTTCGTTCAGACTGAGAGATCGTCACACATCTGGGGGCTTGTGAGTGTACATAGACTGTGAGTGTTACACTGAAGCATTGTTGATCCGCTTGTGGCAGAGAGAAAGAGAGCTGTATCTGCTTGGCTTTAGTCACAGAAGTACAGAATAGAGCCTACAAAGACATTCAGTGACACTGACCTCATACTTAGAGAGTCAGCTCTATTTAAAGCACAAGGAATCTTTCGACTGTCTATTTTTACCATGCCGTCTTGGGCATATTTCTGACGGGGGTGAGGAGGGAGGGAGGAGAGTGAAATCACTGGCGTTTGCGACAGTTCTATCACTTTGGTGGAAGTAATGCTTAGCTTTTATTAGAAATGTCAATCATGGTCCAAATATGGAGCGCTGTTTTTTTTAAATGCAAGTGGGTTTGTGTGATGCTTAATGGTATTATTAGAAACGAAGAAAGAACGGAGTGTTATGTTCCTCTTTTATCATCTGCAGATCGTCGCAGGAGATGCTGGGACACGTCAGGACCCCCAGGGGATTTATACATTCATCATTGATGTATTTCATAGTGGGTTTTTTCCCTATAGGCGCATGAATCAAGATTCTGGCCTTTTCCTTCCACAAACAAAGCTTTGGTCTGCATACAGTATGTGATGTAGATGCGTATACAGTACAGGTTAAATGTGATGTACCGTTATTAAGCTTAAAATATATTTATGTAGATTCAAAAAATAAATTAACAAAATAATGAATAAAAATGTTCATGTTTATTCATTCATTTTCTTCTCAGCTTAGTTCCTTTATTATTTAGGGGTCGCCACAGCGGAATTAACCATCAACTTATCCAGCATATGTTTTACGCAGCGGAGGCCCTTCCAACCGCAACCCAGCTCTGAGAAACACCCATACACTACTGCTTTCACACACATACACTAAAGCCAATGTAGCCTATTCAATTCACCTATAGCGCATGTCTTTGGACTGTGGCTTGAACCAGCGACTTTCTTGCTGTGATGCGATTGTGGTACTCCATGCACTACCATGACTACCATTTATATTAGTTTACGTAAACAAGTTTGTATCTTTTTCTAAGTTGATAATTCATTTTTTGAAGATTGAATCAAAAATAAATAAATAAACATGCATGAATGTGTGTACAGTATATGTTGTATTGCTTTCATGTTCTCTACAGTGTTATTATTAGTTTGAATTCATTTGTATGTTAGTTCATGTATTTCTGTGTTTTTATATTGTTTAAAGTTGATAATACATTTTTCTAGATAAACTAAATAAACATGCTTAAATGCTTGTATATAATGTATTAAATGTAAAAAATAGTTATTGAACTTTTAAATAGCTGCTTTCTTATTGTGTAGTTTCATATGAAATTATTACTCGTCATTATTGCTTTTATTAATATTACCATTTTTAATCATAATAATAATAAAAATAATAATAATGATTATTATTAGAGTGATTTCTGAAGAATCATGTGACTCTGAAGACTGGAGTAATGAAGCTGAAAATTCAGCATTAAATCACTGGAATAAATTATTAAATTAAATTATAAACTACTTCTGAACAGTTATTTTATAGAGCAATAACGTTTCACAATTTGCCAATTTATACTGTATTTTTGATTACATAAATGCAGCCTTGGTGAGCAGGGGAAGCTTTAAAACATTTAAAAATCTTACTGACCCCAAACTTCCAAACTTTTGACTGGTATTGTACCGTATATAATTTTGTTGCTTTCGCCTTTTTTGCCTGTTTTTCTATAGTTTTTATTTACATTTATATTAGCTATACATTTCGATAAAAATATTAATAAAATAATGCATAACAATGTGTATATACTGTATTTTATATTGTGTAATATTGACTCTATAATATACTTTGAGTTAGTTTGATCTATTTACTTCATATACATATTTAGCCTACCTTTTTTCAACTTCCTTTGTTTATGCTGCATGATTTCACCTTAAAGACCATGAAAATAACTAATTATTTGCTATAAAAGTGATTTTACTGATCATTCATTTATTAAAGATAATTTAATATTTTAATATGATCATAAAATATCATCATTATAATATTTTATTTTTAAATAAAGTGAATGTTTTCTCATACACTCAGTGGGATCTCTGTAGGTAATCTTGTAGTCTGTTTTTACTCTTAATGTTGGCTTGTGTGCTCTTCTTAACAGTTAATTTCAGGATTGACTAATAAGAAAGCTTTAAAAACTGTAAAAATCTTAAGATTTTAAGATCTTTGTATAAGTCATTTTAAAATAACCCTTGTAAGAGCAAAAATGTTTGTTTTTTTTTCTCCTTTCTCTCCTGTTTTATTTATCAATTGATATTGCTCTTTATGTTGTATGTAGGATACTGTTCTGTATGTTTCTGCATTCTGCAATAAAAATAAATAAATAAATAAATAAATAAATAAATAAATAAATAAATAAATAAATAAATAAATAAATAAATAAATAAATAAATAAAAATACATTTTGGCTTATGTGCTTGTCTTGCACTTTATGATGGACAACAGCTACATCTAGTGGTGCACTCCTTTATTCCTACTGAGGTGGCGTTTCGCCCCTCATAAAATATTTCCTAATAAAACATGAGAAGGGGTTGTTAAAATAGATTTCTAAATTTAATAGTCAAGCAAACAATAGAGTACAATAGAGTATAAGGCCAATTGCCAAATAACCACCAATGTTTAATTAGTTCTCGTCCATGTCTTTCTAGCAGTTCAAACTCAGACATGCTCATCTTTTGACTCACCTTTTTTAACAGCAGTGCCAGGCCAGAGACTCCAAAGGGGTTCCGGCGGGACTTTCCGCGGGGGAAAACACAGCTTCCGTTTGTCCTGTTTATAATGCTATAATAACAGCAAGTCAGGGTTATAAAAGTGAATGCGGAAATAGAAGGTGGCGTGTGGTGCTGTAAATCTGAGAAGGTGAGGTATAAATGTTAAAGCAATTTTTTAGAGTTCAAGATCAGTCGCGCCCCAAAACTAACGTCTGACTAAACAACCAAAGGTACAAAAAGGCATTCAAAATGGCGTTTAGGATAATTTAAAAGCAAATATGAATTTTATTTACGCATTTACATTATAACCTGTAATGTTAAATATTATTTGAAGTGTTTTTAATTACTTTTGACGTTACTGGAAAAGATTTTACTGGATTTCAGGCTACCTCTCTCTGGCAACTGCTTTACTTTTTAAGCTGCCTTAAAAACATAAAATACTTGCAATTAAAAAACAAAACAAAACGATAACATATTTATTATTATATTTGGAGTGATTGGTATCTTAAAGGAGTTGTTCACCCAAAAATGAAAATTCAGTCATTGTTCACTCACTCTCAGTGTTGGGGAAAGGTACTTTAGAAAGTAGGACATAGGAAGTGCATTACAATATTGAGTTACTCCCCATAAAGTTACTAGTTGCGTTACTTGGTTACTTTTTTAATGGTAAGTAATGTGTAACGTTACATTTGAGTTACTTTCTGACCTGGCTGAGGCTTGATCTCTTTCAGAACTTGCAGGCATTTCTTCTTCTTCTTTTTTTATTTAAATAAAGAAGCTCTGCAATTAACAACACACTGTTTAGTCTTCATTTACCTTTAAAAAAACACATACAAAAAAAATGAATGTAGGATGTTATCTTCAGAGAACTTCCTGACCTCAGAGCTATACATGCCATATACACAGATCAATGAAAGTTTAAAGCAATGCGTTTGCTACTTTTGTACTTTTTGTCTTATTAAAAAGTAAAATCGCTGTGCGTTCAGATAATCCTCTTTTCCTTTTCTTTCATGTGTTCAGAATGATGACAATATTTGCGGTGTTCATTTCTGTCTGTTCCTGCATTCTTTTATTGGGTGGGATTGAACGTGACTTTATTTATTTTACTTATTGTTTATTTTTTAAAAGGGAATTAACTAAACTAAATGCATAACTCATTGCATTTTTTAAAATAACTACAATATTATTATTTTTTAAAGTAATGCATTACTTTACTCGTTACTTTAAAAAGTAATATTAATATTAATAATGCATTATTCCCCACAACACTGCTCACTCTTCTTTTTTCAAAGCTTTATAAGTTTTTCAATTAAAGACAAAAGTAGATATAACGGGTAATAATCGACTTCTATAGTAGAAGTCTTAGCTATAGTATAGCTTTTTTTTAATTATCTTATTTTTGTTGTTCAACAGAACAAGAAACTCATAAAGATTTGGAACCACTTAAGGGGAGGTAAATGTTCATTTTTGGGTGAACTGTCCCTTTAACCAACATTAAGGTCCCAATACCAAAATAAATTGAACCCAGAAAATGTCTTTAAAATGCTAAAAAATGTAACAATTTAAAACATTGCTGGCTTAGTCAATGCTAATATCAAGCACTAACAATCTTCTACAGCATTTATTAATCATAATTTATGATTTACAAATTCATTAAACATGAAAGTGGTGCTTATTGATGTACTGCGAGTTAACAACTAACAATGAACTTCACTTTCATTAACTACACTGTTAATATCCTGTAGAATCTACAGCAGGGGTCACCAACCTTTATGAAACTGAGAGCTACTTCTTGGATACCAATTAATGTCGAGGGCTACCAGTTTGATAAACGCTTCTCAAATAACAAATTTGCTCAATTTACTTTTAATTATACTTTATGATTTTGGTAATAATTAATGATATTCATCCATGTGAAGACACTGATCATGTTAATGATTCTCACAAAAGTTATCAACAATGATTTAACAGGGTAGGAAATACCCTGCATTTATTTATTTTTATATATTTCTGCAAATATTTACATTTTTAAATGATTACTTCTATATTAGATGAAGCTTACTGGTAAGTGGCGCTATGGTGAGCTATTTTTAGAACAGGCCTGCGGGCAACACATGTGATCCTCCACCAGGTAGCCCGCGGGCACAATGTTGGTGACCCCTGATCTACAGTAACCTACTGGTACCAATTATGGCAAAAATACTCTAAATTAACATTTCAGCACCATTTATGTTGCTAAATCTGTATTTGCAGTATTGCATATCTTTACTGTAAAACATACTGTTATTTTGATAAAAAAACCTCAAAATGCAGTAACATACTTTGTATACAGTAAATACTGTATATACATACTGTCTTACAGTAAAATATAGTTCATATTACAGTTAAATACTGTGTAACTTACAAAAATTGTTAACTGTTACATTAAAAAAATTATTAAAATACAGTCGAAGTCAGCATTATTAGCCACACTTAGATTTTTTATTTTATATTTCCAAATGATGTTTAACAGAGCAAGGACGTTTTCACAGTATGTCTGATAATATTTTTTTCTTTTGAAGAAAGCCGTGTTTTATTTCAGCTACAATAAAAGCAGTTTTACATTTTTTTAAACACCATTTTAAGGACAAAATTATTAGCCCCTTTAAGCTATATATATTTTTTCGAAAGTCTACAGAACAAACCATAGGTATACAATAACTTTCTTAATTACCCTAACCTGCCTAGTTAACCTAATTAACCTAGTTACACTTTTAAATACCACTTTAAGCTGTATAGAAGTGTCTTGGAAAAACATTTAGTAAATTGTTTATTGTCATCATGGCAAAGATAAAATAATTTAGTTATTAGTAATGAGTTATTAAAACTGTTATGTTTAGAAATGTGTTGACAAAAATCTGCTCTCTGTTACACAAAAATTGGGGAAAAAAATAAACAGGGGGGGGGTAATAATTCTGACTTCAACTGTA